ATATGGGAGGGGGTGTCACATGAGGATGATAACTGAGTGAAAAGGAACCCAGTGCCTGGAGCGCAGGCTGACCACGTATCTATAGCACGTTATGAGAAGATCCTGAGTTTACCAGTGAAAATATCTGCAGCCTGCTCTATGGTGGTAATTAATACACTGTTATTTTTCTTCAGAAGCTACAGAAAACGTGAGGACATTTGAAACCTTAGTAACTGACAGATCACACTTCTTGTTACCCCACTGCCCTACTGCTGTCAGTCTGCTTTTGCTCAGTCATACATTCGGAAATTGCTCATTAAAACCCCCCACAGACCTGAAGAGATAATGAAATACATTTTCAAACACAGACAAAGGGCAGACAGGAGGCAAACACATGCAGCCCTATACGTAATGGTCTGCTGAGTAAATTTAGAGTCCAACAACGGACTCCCTGTAGTTATTCCAGTGCTTCTCTAGCATAGGCAATGGACGGCGCCTGCAGATTGTCTGAGCTTTCAGGCAAATGGCAGCTGGTGCCTCAGGAGAGCTGCAGAGCACTTTCAGGATCGGATGATCAGACTTCAGACAGAGCAATCATTAACCTTCTTTTTGTTTTTTAAGAAATTAATAAGGAATTTTCTAAAGCCTCTTGCTCTGCTCACACAAGTCAGATACTACAAGCTGTGAACCAGACTGTGCCACTCTTATATAGGTCAGATAGTACCTTGCCTACACAGGGGGGCTGTTTCCTAGAGTCTATCCCAAGATAAATATAGAACACACTGTCTGGTCTGTGCACTGTGGGCTAAGGAGAAAACATGAGCCCTAACCCCATCATCCACAATTTCTGCAAAGCCTTACTAACACTGTTTCTAATATTATGTAACTGGAGTGTTATAAATCCGCAACCTTTTTGTTTTAGAATATCTCCCCTTGTTTTCTCATTTTGTAAGTGACACCTGTCAAACGTGTAAGAGCAAAGAACAAGCAAAAATTTCTATTAGTGAAATCTTGCTCACATCCAGTCTAGTAAATTATTCTTCCTCTTGTCACAAAAATCGGTTTTTCTAATTAGAAATACTTAATTTTCTAACTTTCTATTACTTTTTGCAGCTTAATCGTCTTCTGTAGTTAGATCATCATCATCATACAGGGCCACTGTCATTTTTCCTTGAGTCTTTGTAACCATTCACTTCTCTGGTGATTTAAGAAAGCACTTCCTGGCAAGAAAGACAGATGTTGATTTGGCAGTCTTTAACAGATGCTCTGTACAAATGGAAATGGTGTGAGCAAGAACAAGGGCAGCCCGCTCCTTTGTTTTTCATTCTTTGAAAAGGGCACTAATGATGGCTCTTAAATAAGGAAAGAGAGGACATAAAATTCCCTGTTCCCAGATGTTTTGAAAATATCAACTAAAATATCACAAACAGCTTTTTTTCAGATTTTCCTATCTCAGTATTTCAGTTCCATTTTGAGGCATTCAAATTTGTGATTTTCACTTCAGATTTACCTTCCATAGATTTGATTTCTTGAGACTTTCTTCGCTTTAATTTTTCACTGGTATTTTCATTACTAAGTTAAAAGTTGCTTTTAAAACTTGGGCTGAAGAAAAACTTCCCTTGCCTTAGAAGCTCTAGTACTGGAGGAATTTACCACATCAGGTATCTTAGATGATGCTTAGCTGCAGGTTTCAGTCAGTGGAAGTCAGAGAATAACACTCAGATTTTGATTCAATTTAAATGTTTTCTCTGCCTCTCCTGTCAGACTACTGAGAGGGAAAAAAAAAGTCTGTAATAACAGCAGCTCTCAAACTGAAAGGAAATTCTTTTCCCTTGTCCAGATGACATACTAAATCTGTCACTAGCACATCCTTGTAACCCACTCTCAGAAGTGCCTCCAGGATGATAGGCTTTGTGATCAACTGGGAAAAAAGCAGTCTCTCATCAACTCAGTAAGGGAGTAAAAACAGGCTCTGTGTAGAAGATGCTTCTGAAGCAGAAGCACAACGTTTTAGTCTCCAAGCCTACTTAAGGCTGTTCCACAACAATGGGGCTGAGGTTTCTGTGAATTTTTTTGTGCTGCTTTCCTTTCAAGGTGACTTGAATTTGACTGTAACAAGGCCCCAGACTGACATCTAACCTCATTTTCTAAGGAAATCAGCTCTGCACAGTAAGTGTATGAGTTGCTGCCTGCCCTTTTCCAGTAACTTTCAAGCTACTTTCCAAATTCAGGCAAATTTTAACTGAACTCCATGAAGCTTAGTGAAAACAGGCAGCTGGGAAAAGGAAGTAACTCTTGTGCCAGAGGAAAAGGAAGAGTCCGGTCGGTATCACATGGTGGTGAGCCTGCATGGGGAGAGTTCTTACCATGACTCCAGAAGCAGGGAAAGCTTTGATCATTGTGTGCCTCCAGAGAGGACAACTGCACACTGCAGTGCTGCGGGCAGCCAGGTTCATTGCTGCAGTGTGAACACACATCCTGGAGTGGTGTCACTGAAGCCCGTGTGCCAGGCAAGCTCTGGCTGGGGCTGCGGCCTGCTGTTTGGGCACAGCGAGCACTGCGGAGTGGGTGCAAGGTGGGTTGTAAAAATGGCAGAGGCACAAAGCGGGCAGTACCCCAGGCTGCTTCCTCATCTCTGTAGGTAAGGAAGTGAAGAGGCAGAAGGGCAATGCTTTGATTTGCAGAGAGGGAGAAAGCCTGCTTCTCTGAAGAGGGCTGCTCTCACAGACGCAAGGCTGACAGCCTCTGGTGTGCTGTTTGGTCACTATTTTATCTTTCTGCTTAATGGAAGGGATAAAGTGGAATAGTAATAGTGGAACTCAAAAGTGAAAGGAAACCTGTAACCACATAATTATGTAGGAATCAGCTAAGAGCCATGAAAAGCCGATTAAGCTATATTATGCAGATACATGTAACTGAATATTATTAGTAAGTCCTTTGCAATGACGTGCCTGGCAATTAACGGAGCAGCATTTGCAGCACTCAGTGAAAACAGAGATAATGTACAGTTTAAAATGTTTGGAGACAAACAGTGTGCAGAGGTCAGAGACAGCCTAAAACTAAAAACAGGAGCATCTTCAAAGGTAGCGGCACCCAGGGGAAAAAAAAAGATGTTACTCCAAACAGACTGGCTCAGATGCTGGACACAGCTTGGAATAATTTATATTTATCATCAAAATGAATTTACTGCCTTATGAGTAAGACGCTGCAGTGCAATAAGCAGTCTGTGTTTTTCAACTACCCACAAACTGCTAGCTGTACAGGTTAATGGAGGAGTACCTTATTTTTCTCCAAAGTAAATGAAAAAAGTTCATAGTAATATTAAGACTTAGGCAATAGCAAGTTTGGGTAACATTCCTGTGGCTAAAACAATTTGTTAAGTATTTGGGAATGAGGTTGTTAAGAGTTGTATATTCTTATTTATGTGGCACTTCTGACTCAGACTATTTCTTTCACACTGGAATGTTGGGATTTGCTGTTTCCTCTCCCACCACTGTAAGGGAGCAAAGGTTTGACTCTCTTCTTTTGTACTCCTCTGCCCACTCTTGCAGAGTGTTTCTTATCTGCAGACAGAACTGTGCAGGAACAATCTCCAAGATAACTGTGTGTGTCTCAGAGTTCACACAGGCTCTACAAAAAGATACACTTCTCTCAGAAACTGCCTGGTGTGACCGTGGTGAGCTCATCTGAAGGGATGCAACCAGTGAGGAATTTGTTGTGTCACTGAAAGCCCGAGCATGCAGGAGAACTCACATCCTCCTTATTTTCTTCATCATGTCAGGAAGACTTTTGGGACATGCTGCCAAGAGAATGGCCTTGCAAAAAACAGCATTGGTCCTTTAAATATTTGTCCTATGTGTTGTTTTTCAAAAGTGACATGCAGATTGTCTTAGTTTTTGAAGATGACTGAAGTAATGTGAAATGCAGATAAGAGGTCAATAGCTTTTGTGCCCACAGCAATGCTTTCCTGAGCCTAGTGTGTAAAGAAACAAAAGGGAGAGAGGCTGTGTCGTTACACTTCGATTCCAGAATCCAAGGAAATAACTTGTAAGTGGAATATACATGTAAGTTCAACAGCAGAAGTACTGGGTATGTGTAATTAATGAGATCTCTGCCAAACCAAGACTTAAGGATAATCACGAGATGTACCTTCACTTAAATGGAGTACGAAGACTGTTAAAGCACTTGATTGTCTCATACTACTTATGTTTGCTTGGGCTATTTTCCCTCATCTTTACTTGTGAGAACAGTGATGCTTTCAAAGTGCTTATCTGTCTCTGTTTTCACATGCAAAAAAACTCATGTCCAGAAATGTGGACTGTGTAGATGAGGTACTACAGCAATGGTAGCACTGAGAATCAAATGTGTTTGTGCCTTAACTGCGTATTCCACATACTGGATCATACTGCCCGTAATGCACCCACCTACTGAGAGTATGAAGAATCTATTTTGTTCATGCATTAATTGGAAACTGAAGATTTGTATTTCTTCTTCAGCAGGGAGATAACTTAAGCCTTTTGCTTTCAGCTTTTCTGAGAGTCAGAGAAGACAATTTATTTCTGATGTAAGAAGCTGTCACCACTAGCATTTGTGCTCCAGTCACTCAGCAGAAAGGAGGCCTTCTCTGTAAACAAGAAAAAAGAAAAAAAAAGACCCATCCCAGCTAAGAGTTATAACTCTTGAGCAACAGCTGCAAGAAAAAAGGTGCCTGTGACAAATGGCTATCAGCTCTCAAGCTGTGTCCATCTCTCAGGTGTCCTGTACTGTCAGGACCCGTGGCACAGCTATGCATACAAACCTTGTTACAACTTCTGCCTTCATTTGACTTTGAAAATTTAGTTCCTGCATTTTCCTTTAACAGAGTATCATTCACAAATGTTCCTGCAACTGAGAATAATACTAGTGAGTCCAAGGTGTGCCTCTGGAAGTCACCTTTTAGAAAGTGTTTACGTTCTTGCTGCTTATTTCCACAGATCCCTCAGCCAAAACACCACTAATAATAAGAACTTTTAATTTCACAGATGAAAGAACTTGGTGTCATCGTGTACAACTGCAGCTGCCTGGTCCTGGATTTACAAAGGATATTTGCCCTGTACAGTTCCTTAAAATACAAGAATAAAATACCTCCAAGTTGGTCTAAGAGACTTTATGGAGTCTACGATACTCAAAACAAACTGATGCTGCAGCTGAATGAGACAAAATCAGAAGCTTTTGTGTCGGTAAGTTCTGAAATGAATTGCAGAGAGGGAGGGAAGGGGAGAGGATTCCTTAACTCATGTATACTACAGCACCTCTTTACTGAAACAAAGATGTTCAGCAGTTCTCTGGATGAAGTCCATCACATGGCTGTGTTCTCTCTGACAGATATTAGATGGTTTTATTTCCACAGTTCAGTACTTTGGCTTTTTTATCTTCTATTTTATTTTCTAATGTTTTGTGGCTCTTTGAAAGCACCTGAATCTTCAGGGAAGCACATAAACCCATTACAAATTAGCAGGACTACTGATGGAAATTACCATAAACATGAACTTACGTGGTGTAATTTAAGCTGGTACATATGTGTTTCTTTCAACTGACCCTAACAGAAGAAAACGTGCATTACTGCTATGTACTTAGCCACAAGCAGCTATTAATGCTGAGATGAGACTTGTGCAGGTGACTGGAAACAGATACAGAGATAAGACCACTATAGCTGTTATCCATACATCACTCTGTTGTCTGGGAAAGTGGTTATTTCAGTAGTTGAAAGGTTTTAAGAAAGTTTTATCTTTTCCTGTGCTGCAAAAGAAACTAATCACAGTATATTTTTACATTTTGACTTCTGTGTAATTGTTCTTATCTGCAATTTGCCATGACTGAAAACTGCTGCAGAATATGTGCAATATTCTTATTCTTTCCTCTGTAATTTTCACTACTTTTCCTCTTTCATCTAGAAAATGGTAGGGACAACCTTCAAATTATCTAATTTACTTACAATGGTGGATACAAGGTAAATATCTTGGAGTAAATGAATTCTTAATCAGGGATCCAAAATGCTGCATTATAAACTTAATGTCAGAGCTTGAATTTCTGTACAAGATTTTTATAAGGATCTTCACTCTTCCCTTAAGACATTCATGCTTCTGTAGAGCATGATCTACTTTTATTTTTAAATGGTATTTTCAAACTTCTAAAATTCAAGCAGCATTCACTGTGGATTCACTGCCTGTGTGTTTGTATTTTTAATGGGAAGAAATGGAACACTCATCCATTTCAGAAGTGATGTAGCAAAACTGGAAAAAAGTACATAGATTGATACAGATATTGAAGGATCTTTTCTTTTGGACATTATTACCTAAGTAAAATAAAACAGCCTTCATAATCAGGAATAGACTGAAGATTATAAGAGTTATTTCCCGTTCTACATAAAGCAAGGGGTTGTTTTATAGCCAGCTAAGTCTAAAGCAACATGAAGTATATAGCACTCTATTTTTACAAGCTACTAGCACAAGATGTTGATGCAGATGAGTAGTTAAATGGGACAGGATTTACCTTCGCCTGCTGGGAGCCACAGAAAGTTCAGGTGCCCAAGATTTTCAGACTTTTACAGTCATTGGAGAGACAGAGAGCTGTTCTGGAGTGAAACAAGTGAAAATCTGAAGTGCCTAAGGCAACCAGAACTAACAGTCTTCTGAGGAGACATATACTTCTCTTGATTCTGGACAGGACTGGCTCAAATGAAGAGAATGACTTTAAGACAGCTGAGGAGCTGCAAAATGAATTCTACATGAAGTAGTTGCTGTTATTAAAATTATCTGTTATTATAAATTATAAGAATTATCCCACTCTCTTCTTACCAATTTGTAAGAAACTAAGAAATGCTGCTAGAAGCCTTTCGCATTGGGGGCACACAGTCATGTGGCAAAGGCCGTCCCTAAGCGGACCATTAATTCTAGACAAAGACAAGCGGAGAAAGCTCTTACAAAAACTATTCTTCTGCAGCTTGCAGAACATGCAGTTGTTCCCTGTGATCTGCATTCTCCTTTTCTGTGGACAAAAAGGCCCTCATCTTGGAATTCCACTTCATGAAACAAACAGGAAGGAGCTACAGTAATCAGAAGCTTAGATCAATAAGTCCAACTCTGGGAGCTACCTGAATTTGTAGTCACAGCCCGTTTGGTTACTAGCTTATCTATCGTAAGAAAAATAACTTTTCTCCTACGTCAGCAGGCTGCAAAGCAGATCTGAATTTAACTGAGCTACTTCCACATACACTGTTCTGATATATTGTTCTGGTGCAATAGCAAAAGTCTGCTCACAAGCTGTTAAAATGTTTAGATCTGAATTTGCTCCCATGTAATCTCTTACATGCTCCCATGTATCTCTTTTACATAAGAGCCCTCTGGGGCAAGGAGAGCAAAGCAAGGACCTTCTTTATGACACTCACTGTCTATCACCAACAGGTCACCCACTTTGAAATGGTCAGAGGCCTCGCTGGTATGAAGGGAGATGATGGCCATCACACTGCAGTTAGGAACCACTTCTTCATTAGAAGAATGGGTATCCCCATTTCAGTGTAGTGCTTGTCTCTGTGCTTCCTTTCTCTAGGAAGATATAGTTGAGAATAAGAGTTATACAATTGTTTTGTTTTAATCTACAAAGTTTGCTCAGTATGGTGAGGAAATTCTATCAATAGATTCAGTTCTTTCTTCCAGAAAACACGACTTTTCAATAAATTTCTCACCTACTAAAAAAATCCTCAAAAATCTGGCAGCTGGTTATCGGCATGCCTATCTGAAAGGCTGCCCTGGAGTTGTGTGGGTTTGGAGGAACCAAGTGTTACTACCTTGGCTACTCCTAAACTACCAACAAGAACAGCCTGTAAGAGGCTGGGAGCTCACTTCCTCATCGCTGCCCTTCTCATGGGGCCTGCTTGTGCTTGGTGCAGTGCTTGCTGTCTTGACAAAGTACTATCCAGTACTGAGGAAAGCACTAAAATACCCACGATGACCAGAGTCAGCCATACCGAAAGGTACCAAGTGTAAGGGTAAAAAAAAAAAAAAAAGGGTATTTAAAATGATTGTTACAGGCAGAACAGAGGTTTTTCTTTGAAGCATCTTTGACTTCCTAGTCTTTGTAATGAAGGCATCTGACAATGACAATGTGTAGCAATTCCTTTGTTGTTCTGTGTGACTTACAAGTTTTCTGCAAGAAGATATTGAGCATAAGAACAGTGTAACAGCCTCCTTAAATTTCAGATGATATAAATTATGTTTAACAAATTCATTTTACACCTTTTCTTGAGTCTAGACTTATTCCTTGAAAACTTATTTCACTTTCAACCTTTATGCTATATAAAACAACAAGCATAACACTAAGTCACTGAACTTTCCTTCTTATAGTCAGGAGTCATTGCTGTAATGTTTCTTAGCAACATGATCATCTTCCAGACTGGTTTTAAAAACACAGGCTCGGTTTGGTTTTCTTAGTTTTCAAGAATGCATCTGGAATACTGGTCTTACAATTTTGCTACTATTAATTTTCTAACATTTTCCTAACTTCTTTATTTGTAAGAAGCCTTTTCACACCAATCAGTGACTAAGGCACTACTGTCACTGTACACAGACAGGGAGGGGGAAAAAAACAGCACCCCTAAAGAAAAAATAGACATATAGCCTTGATGCAAGCCGAGCAGAAAACAAAGGAGATGGCACAGCAGCAGGAAAGCAGTGCACTGGCAGAACCAGCAGTGCAGGAACTGGCACTTGCTCTAATTCTACAAATGCCTTTAGCAACCCCTGCTCTCAGGTGCCATGAACAGGTGGCTCCACCTCTTCTCTGCTGGGCAGAAGAGCAGTAGGCCCTGGCCTGTGCTGCAGGTGGGTGACTCTAGCAGGCTGTCACCTTCTGCATCCCCACACACAGACCAGAAAAGCTGAAATCTGGGCTTACTACTTACCAGCTCAGTACCAGGTAAAATCTGAAGCCAGATTTTAAAGATAAGCTTCTTGCAAAACTGCAGCATCTCCCTGCAACAGTGATCGAGTAAATGGTAACTGTATGGTCATGTAAACATGAGTAACAGACTACCTTCTGGTAGTAAGTGATAGATTAGGTTCACAGATTTTACTCTATCTAACAGTAACCAGTCCTGGGACTCCACAACAGATTTATCTGAAATGTAACACCTTCAGCCAGAGCTTCAGAGAGGACAGTTTTCAAGCTTGTGATGTCTACATTTTACCCAGCTGTATCTACCTGATATTTTCAAGGAAAAAAATAAGCCTTGAGAATTACTCTGATGTTTCAGTATTCCGGCAGGACGGGTAAAGTTAACAGTCTCTACTGAAATTCAGAATATTGCTCATTACCTTAAGACATATGAAGGGAGAAGAAAAGAATCTGTCCTTCTATTCTATTTTAAATGCAATATTTGAATTTTGCCTTCACAGAATTCACCTAAACTCTTCTGCCCAAAGGACAGAGTCCTGGATATTGAAGCTATATACAATGTTATCGATGATGCCAAACAGTTTGTATACATAGCTGTCATGGACTACTTGCCGATCGTCATTGACACAAATGCTAAACGGTGAGTGTCCATGTGCAGGGCTAGCATGCTATCACGATGCCATAAGGTCTGCTGGAGATAATGACCCCACAGGAGATTAGTTGCTATGTGGACCAATTTCTTGGGGCCCAATTCTGCTCTTATTGAAATCAGTGAGAGTTCTGCCATTGACTTAAATGGGAGCAGAATTGGGACCTAAGAAGACATTTCCAGTTCAGGGTCCTAAGCCTTGGATCTGCCTATCAAAGGGGCTCAGAAGTTGTCTAGTCAGACCATCTGCAAGTGACTGAGACCCAGGAGTACAAGAACCTCCACATCCACGAATCCTGTTCCTTACACTGTTATATCCACTGCTTTGATACCGTAACCACACAGCTATTCAGCAGGAGAGAGAGAGAATATATGTGCACGCAGAAGAGAGACAATGCGCTGTGAGTTCTCATGAAGCATGGGAGATGTCACAGTTTTACTGAAATACACAGATACATTAAAGGTCTTCCCAAATTCAGCGCAGATCACATTTTAAGTTGTATCATAACTGATAGGCTGAGAAATGCTAAAAACAAAATCAAATCATTTTTAAACACAGTTTGTGTAAACTGTTAAAAAGTACCTGTCATCCAAAACTGCAGCCACAATTTTAGAAAATCATTACACTCAGAAAGCAAGCATCCAGCGGTCCCTCAGTAACAGTTCCTATGAATGGAGCATCTCGTTAAGCTTGCTGTTCTACCCATGCACTTTGATTGCCATTAGGCCAAATGTGCTTTTTTCCAGTTTTGCATGAAGACATGAAAAAAAAAAAGAAAAAAGAAAAAAAAAAAGGTTTGGCTAATATTCTGTGTAAATCTAGAAGAGGGTTTTTCAGATAAACTCATTACACATAGCTTCTCTTACAATGATGGAATCCTGAGTACTGCAAGCTGCAGGAACCTCAGTCTCACATCATCCATCCACCTGATCTCTCCTTAGATTGGAAAGGGTCTATGTATGCAGAACTGCTGCAGTGTTGCATGTGATGTTACCATCTGTATTCCTCCCTTCTTTGTTCTCGTGCCTAAATAACTCAGAATTCCTTTGGATTCAGGGAGATCCAAGAAAGTCACCTGCGTGAATTTTGCAACATTTTCTTTAGAGCAGTATGGCTTTGCATTCAAGGCCACAGCTTCCCTACCTGTTCAGCTTCCATTTTTTTATTTTTATTTTCCAGCATTACAGAGATCAGATTTCATTAGGTTGAATGTCGACACTGCTAGAACAAAAGTGTATTCTCTTTGTCTAATTTTCCCTGTCTTGACCTGCTTTCACCTTGGGAACACAAATCTAGAACTAATGACAACAAGTATCTCTCACCAGCTGTGAGGATAGCACCATGGAGGCCACTATCCTGTTCACGGCAGAAATTATCAGGAAAAAGCAGCATCCTCCTTTAACAATCCATCTCCTTCCACTATTAAAGGATGTAGACACCATGCACAGCAGCAGCTCTCCTTTTCAAAGCATGAATTTAACACAAGGTCTCTGTTCCTCTCCATATATAAGACAGAGGAGAAGGGAGAGCATGGCAGAGATTTCACTGTCCCTGTTCCCTTACACCTGCAACTAGCAGAAAATCTTTCCTGCTCCTCTGTGTAGGCTAGGTAAGCAGCACCCTCTAGCTGTAGCTGCTTCTACTGGTTCTCCTACTACTCTCACTACAGGCAGTGACACAAGAGCAACCGGCGCAGCTATGAGCAAACACAGCTCAACCATCCCCACCTGCAATGCTCCGTGCCCTGGCAGGGCAGATTGACATGGCAGGATGCTGGCTGATCTTCCCAGCGAGAACTCTTGCAGATGAGAGCAGCGCTCCTTACACAGGAAATTAAATTCATATGTGTTTAGTTTTCCCTGTAATGTCTTCTACTCTTGCCTGCCTAAAAATCCTTTTTTTCAGAGTTATGTGAATATCCTGTATTCTTTCTCCACAGATACTGGCCATTTCTAGATGGGAAGATAAGAGAAGCATTAGTTTTACGAAGTATTAAAGTACGACTCCTCATAAGTTTCTCAAGAGACACAGATCCTCTTACTTTCAACTTTGTTTCATCTCTCAAAGCTATCTGCACTGAAGTTCCAAGCTGTAGTTTGAAAGTTGTAAGTATAAATGGTATTCTTTCTTTTAATCCTATATATTCCCCCCCACCCTGTCCTGAAAAAAATGAAGAAATTTCACAACTGAGAAGTGGTCTCCATCAGTAGCATAGCCTTTGAACACCATTAAAGAACAAGGGAAATGGATGAGGGCTGCTCTGAAAGTAATGCCTCCTATGTTACTATGTTGGCCCACAGCATCAGAGGCAGACGGGTGGAGGTACTGCAGCAGATGCTGAACCTTCCCACCGCTCTTCCATTACATGTTGTAGCTGTGTGGCAGATGGCAGCAGAGGAGCACTGTGACACAATGGCATCTGACACGGAAAAGCATATGAAGGAAGGGTGCAGGATTCAATTCCTCCATGCAGAAAAAATGGCATCCACTGACGTTTATTAATGCTTGCTGAATGTTGATGGAGATCAGAAAGTGAGGTGGTGGGTGGTGCTTTCCAGCAATGACAGAACATCTTGAAACAGCAGAACACCTCCACTGGTGCAGATTTTTACACGTGCAGCACACAGGCTCTTGTTCATCACTGCAAAAATGCACAGCTAAGCTAACGGTGGTGACTGTGTTAAAGAAGTGTTTTGTAGATGAGAATGTTTTATCAATTGGTGTTACTGTGCTCTTTGTGCCTGTTGTAGTTCCCATGGAAATAAGTAATAGACATTACTTTTGGAGCAGCCTGCATAATAATAGTAAACTAAATTTACTTCTAGTAGTAACAGACACTGAAATTAAGAGAGATAAATAGAATGATGCCAAAAGGCAGTCTGTGTGGGGGACAGCTTGCATAAAACACTGCATCTGGTCTTTCACAGCAAAGCTAACCAAGGCAACTGGAGCCTTAAGGCTGGTAAATGCGACAGCACAAATGTCTTTTAGTCTGGATTTGTGCAACCTTACTGCTTAGGCACCTGCTTAGGCACCTGCTTTTTGTTTATTAAGTACAAAATACAAGAAAAAATAATGAGTGCCCAGAGAAGGTATGGGTGTCCCATCCACGGAGGTGCTCAAGGCCAGGCTGAATGGGGCCCTGGGCAGCCCAAGCTGGTGGGGGGCAGCCTTGCCCACAGCATGGGGTTGGGTGGGCTTTGTTCTGTGACTCTATGAATTGCAGAAAAAAAAGAAGTACTGTTTGTGTTTCGCATGTTATGTGGGATCTATTGTATGTATCTAAAAATGGACATTTTTGCTATAAAAGGCACTGTTACTTCTTATGTGAGAAGCAGCATAAAGTGTATTCTGAAGACCAACAAAACAAAAGCAAATGACATTGCTTAAGCCACTTCTATTTTGATTAACTTCTAACTTGTTCCATCTTTAAGCATGAAAATTCTATGTATGTTTTCTTGAAGTGGCACCAAATGCTGTACATACTTGTACCTATTTCCATCTACTCAGAATAGGTAAAATCTTTAGCACAGAATTTATTCTGGAAAGAGCTGAATGATTGGGGGGAGGGGGGGAGGGAAGATTCCTAGACAACTCTTCTAGTTAGATATCCTAGCCAGAGTATCTGTAGTTAAAACAGAAATATAACAATCTCCAAAAAAAGCTCCAGGCACAGCACAGCTCAGTTACCTCTGCACTGTGCATCAGATATGCTGCACTGTTTAAGTCCCTGCCTTGACGACAACAAAAGAAAAACTAGTTGGTGTGAGTAATAACCTAGGGCTCAGAGTTTGCTGGCAACCATCTGATTTTAGCTGAACTGTACCTCAGGCTTCACCACGACACGTATCTGATTCACAAAACATGAGAGATGAGCACTGTTTTTCTTAAAATGTATATCCTTTGTATTCATCTGTTCTAGCCAGGATCAAAGTGTAATAACGTGTGTGCATGGGGAGAGGGAACACAAAACTCTACAAAAGCTGTCATATGCAGACATGTACAATATAGGCTTATACAGAAGAATGCTGCAATTTTAAGAGAAACTTCCATTACAAACTGATTGAAAATGTACTTAAATCGCTAGCTAATGCTAATGCCTTAACAGTATTCTGATCAAAATCATACCCTCCCATCTTCTGTTCTCTTGGAAATAGCATAGCTGAGTCCTACACAAAGTGCATTTAGGAACTTCTTCCCATTAACTTCTGCTTCCTGTGGTACGCCTTGACTTGTTTTTTAATTCTTCTGGAAAGAGCAGCAAAGCCTGGGGGGTTCCACCAGGGTGCCCATGGCTTGGCTTGCTACAGCTGCACAGCACTCTGCATTTTTTTGCCAAAGGCAGCAACCCAAGGTACTCGGTCACCTTGGAGCAGGCAGCACAGACGTAATTTTTCCATTAGAGAGGAACCTCCTGGCTTCCTGTGGCCGCTGACCAGACTAGTGCAAGTTTTGGTACAAATGCAGTTAAAAACCAGGGCTCTGCAAACCTGCTGTGTGTAACAGTGCCTTGAGCAAGAAGAAGAAGCAGTCATTTTGCAGTCTGATGGGGACATCAGAAAGGCAGCAGACTGCAAGACAATTTCCCTGTTGCAAACACTGAATTTCAACAGCATTCTCTGACTAGAAACAACTTTTTCTCTTGCCACAACACTTCCTGACACTGCTTTGAGTGTGTAACCTCAATGCACATACTGTGGAGGAAAAAAAAAAAAAGACTGGGAAGAATTCATGAGGAAGAAGCTTTGCTTAGGGACAAAAAAGGAGCACATCGCCAAACACCAAGGTATGCTGCCACCAAACTGCTCTCCTTCAGGCACCTCTGTCCCGCTCCCCGCATTGTACCAAATGTGATTGTGAAAGCAAAGCTCAAAGTCCAGGTGAAGATTCACTGGTGCGCCTCTTTGACCTGTCATTAAGTGCTGTACTTAAGTTTTGCACGTTCGGCATTCTAAGTGCATCCTACAACACAAGAATGCATGCTCTAACTCTCAAAGAAGCTTTAGAAGAGACCAAGCACTGCTGGTTACCATGCTGAACACATGCAGGTACATGCTTCTGAAGGGCCCACTAAAAGTAACTAGATGCGATAGTAGAGAACTGGAGCCTAGAAAGGAGAGATGTAGAGTAGCATACAGATCTACGGCACCAACTGCCTGCTAAGGTAAGGGGCAGGAAAAAACAGAACCTTTCACTGATTTTCCAGAAACATCAAAATAGAGCTGCCCTGTGAGTCAAAAAAATATCGTGCATTAACTATGAAACTTTTACTCCTAAGCACCAATTTTATTTTAAAGTTTCAAATTCCTAAAGTAAAGATGGAAACAAATGAAATCCTAGCAAAAGGTGTTGTTGTTAACACAGTTTTTCTGCTGAAGGTAGGCTAAGAGAATGTTAATCTGAGCTACTTAATGCTGGTGATGGTTTGCTTGCTTAGCTAAGGCAAATTTCTGTAGTGTTTGTGAGCACAGAGGCAGCTCCCTACTGGTATCTGTACTGATAAGGAATGAGTTGTCAGCTGTTGCCAGAGAGCACGTTATATATTCAGTCATCCTATCTTTTCCTGCCTGAAGCTGAAATTTTCTAACAGCACATACAAACAGGAAACTAGCATACAAACTCTCAGTTTGAATTGAACCTATAGTTGAACCTATCTCAGTTTGACAATTCTAAGCTTGTATGATGATTGTGCTTGGCTATTTTAGTGCAAGATCTGTAATTTTTCTGTTAAGTATCATAACCTAGGGAAGAGAGCTTGTCACGTTTCAGTGCCTGGCATTGAAAACTTCACCCACGCACAATTTCTAGACTAGTTCCTACAAATGCAGCAGTTTGCTTTATCTTCCAAATCACTGGGAAAAGTTAATGCAAGTACACTTGAAGGATACCTTATGGCTGCTATCTCTGTTCCTGTTTTGTTCTGCAAAGAAAGCCCTGTTCTTCTGGCTTTATCCAGAAATATGAGGTATTTCAGAATGATTCAGATCCATCTCCACTTGCTAAGTACACACTTTCTGTTGTGGGTGCATCCTTGTGTAGGGATTCCTCAGGCAATCAGAGCAGAGGCAACAGCAGCAGTACAGCTGGTTACTTTCATCAGTAATATATTGTGAATTACATTTCTTTTGAGGTTCTACACCATCACCTCAAAGTTTCCAAGTCATGCAGTAAATATTTGATTTCTACTTCACTGTATTATTTCCCATTTCTATTTTTGGAATCTGTGCCTAGCTATTAGCTTCCTTCATAAAACAAGCAAAACATGGTATTGTACTGGAAATCTCATTTTTGTCTGGCACTAAACCAAGTAAGGAAAGCATACAGCTCCTCAAAACAAATCAGATGATCACTCTCTGGGTAAAAAAGATGTGCTTTTCTCTTGTCTGGAAAATTTTTATCTTTTCATGACTTTTCATGAAGTGTTTCTGAGATCTGCAGGTCTCCTTCTGGAAACTATGCAACATCTAAGGTAAAGATGTGAATTCAACTTGCTGGCATACCCGTATGCGTATCCCTGAAGCAATCTTCAAATGCCAGGATTCCTTGATGAAAAGGGAAATGAGCTCAAGTTTCTGGCTCTCATTATGCAGAAGACAAAAATTTTGCATTGCTTTTTTTGCTGTTTATTTCAAAGCCATTATTATGCAGCATTTTATCACATCTAATCTGCAGTAGCCATCTACTTTGTATGCTTCACAATGCAAAGGAATACTAAGTATCACAGTGAGAATTCAGTATGTAATACAATGTGCAGTGTTCTATTAAAGCTAATGCTTGCCTGTGAACTTGAGCTGCTCTACAGCACAAACTTGTTTTCAATAAAGAGTAGAAGAGTACATATTTTGTTTTAATCCATGACAGAATGGTTCCTATTAACCTTAACTTTTTCTTTTATGGCAGAAATTCTTTGACCTCGAGGAAGAGGGTGCGTGCTTTCTCAAAGATCAGAAGAACACTTCCCTTCCAAAACTAAACCGTAACAAATACATGGTGACTGATGGAGCTGCGTACATTGGTAAGTTACCATCTCTCCAGCAATTCTAACTTGCAGCCATCAAGCTTGAAATAACACTCATTTATAAGTGAGGAATCTACAGCTGATTTACTCATTAATTAAATTACTGGTCTAATTTCTGAATGAAGATAGCTTTGAGTTTCTTATTTAAAACCTCTTAAATTTCGTTTTTCCCCTGAATCAGTTTCTCAAAAGTAGCATGATGTTTTCAGATTTTAAAATACAGACAGAAAATACAAATACAATATAATTCATGAAATAGGCATAAATATGACTAACATACTGTTTCCACAATGCAACAAAGGTGGACTGCTCTTCATTTCCCACATCGCAGAATCATAGAGTGCTTTGGGCTGGAAGGGACCTTTAAGGTCACTTAGTTCCAGCCTCCTGCCATATGCAGGGACACCTACCTCAGACCAGGCTGCTCAAAGCCCCATCCAGCCTGGCCATAAACACCTTCTGGAGCACCCACAATCCCTCCTGGCAACTGCTCCAGTGTCTCACTGCCCTCACAGTAAAGAATTTCTTTCTAATATCTAGTCTAAATCTACTTTCTAAATCTACTAAATCTACTTAGTCTTTCAGTTTTAAACCATTTCCCCCTGTCCTGTTGCTACCTGCCCTTATAAAAAGTTCCTCCCTTGCTTTCCTGTAGGTCCCTTTCAGATACTGGAAGGCTATTATAATACACTATGATACATCATTACTAAACTGATAGTCAATTCTACTAAATACTCTACAAACAGCTGTCATCCTCCCTTCTGACATCTTCTTATTCTTAACTATACTGACATCTCAGACATTCTCTTTGTTTTCATCATTAGATACACGTCTAATTGGTATTTTGGGCTGAAGGTACACTTAAATATTAAGTTTCTGCACGACACCTAGAAAATTTCACTATCAAATGCTCACTGAATGCATGACAGTAAAACTGATAGAGGTGTGCTTGAGCTGCAGAATCAAAAACAGCTACTGAATTAAAAAGTAACAAGATTTCTGAACGGTATGCACTGATGCACACTTAATGTGCACACACATCCCTCTCAATCTATCCAAATCTTACTTTTCACTTCAAACAGCTGAGCTTTCCCCTCCCAAATATTGTATGAGCTTCTTACTCATCTTTTTTACTCCATTTTAAATTCTCTCCAATACCAAGTAAAATCTCAGTGCCTTGTAGCATGGGTTCTAAGCCTTTTGTTGGGATTTTGTTTTCTGTTTGTCTTTTCCATATCTGCATTTTCATGGCTACAGATAGATAGATAGATAGATACATGCATACACGCACATGGATTTACAGACAAAGAAATATACAACTAAATCTGTGCCACAGTGATGCTAATGACCTGATATATCCTCTCCTTGAAAGCACAGGAAGAAGGATTCCTCACAATGAGGTGTCAATTTTCCATTCTTGACAACTTCAGAATTCTTAACATTTCCTATTGAAGCAGCTAAAATAACTCCCAAAGAAAGGATGCAAGTTTCTCAGATACCTCAGAACTTTGTATGTGCATGTTTAGGCAAGACTTTTTTAAAATATGGCATCTAATAACAGCATTTCTCTCCAAAATACTCCATGCACTCTAAATGTAGATCTTAAGGATTTATGGGTTCTAGTGAAATAGTTGGATTATCTGCTTTCCATTAATGCAGCTACTCCCTCTGCTGTCACTAAGATCTGTGATACTCTGTAAAGTTACCTTAGACTTTGACAAAGGTGGTAAGAACTGGAATAAAACATAAAATCCTGTTTTAGTTTTCTGAATTAGTCGTCAGTGGGGATGCTTTGGTTCACCATTATGGAGCAACCACTACCTATCACATCAGCTTGCTTGTAAGACCCAAAAATATTTTCATGCTTGGCACTGAGAAGGTTGATGACAAACACACACACACAGAGTATATAAAAAGCAAGAGCAAATGAGTTTTGAATAAGTAACTTGTTCTCACTTGTTGTGTATTCCTGCCTTTACTCGTAGGTAATTTTGATTGGGTAGGAAATGCTTTTACGCAGAACGCTGGAGCAGGCCTCGTTATCAACCAAGCAGACGCGGGGAACAGCACGAGCATCATAAAGCAACTCAAGGCTGTTTTTGAAAGAGACTGGTATTCACATTATGCCAAAAGTTTACAACCAACAAAAATGCCAAACTGTTTTAATCACAAACTCAGTAAAGCAACATCAAATAAGACTGCCATGAGCAATGTGAACTAGAGAGACTATTTTACTGTTTAGTATGGCGATGAAGAATTACACTGGGGTGTAGCCCTCTTTCATATTTACAGACAAAAGACTTCAGCAAAAAAAAAAAAAAAAAAGTTTGGTTCGGGGGGTGATTGTTTTTAGGAAAAAGCACACTTATATAAAAACTGTCTAAAATATATTCTCTATTGATTTGGGACTTTCAAGGTTTGTTACTTCTGACACTGAATGTCATTTCTGCTTCCATGTTAATTTTTATGTTCCTCGTTTGAACTTAACAGAAACAGAAGAATTGACTCATACTGTTTTAAGAATTCCCCTAATTGCCATCCAGGCTAGACAAACCTTTGGCAGAACTGAGATCCTGGCTATGAAATGGCATTCTAAGATCAGTTACTATTGATGTACAAGTAGTGGTAGGTTTACTATATTAGAAAAGATAGCAGAGTAAGGATATATTCACTATTTAAACAATTCCCTCTAAATAAACATCCAGTCATACAAGTTTTTCCTAGTTTTCAGCATTTAGTGTGAGCATCACTCCTGTGTGTTTTCTAAATAGCCTTAAATTACATTTGAGTTCTGTAACTGGTAATTTATTCATCTCTAAGGGGACAAGGGTTTTGAGGGATTAAGGTTGACCCAATCAAATTTATTAGAATCCCTGGAACCTCTCAGTTAAATCTTAATTTTCAATAGTATAACATAGATTCCTTTCAACATAACTGCTATTTATAATTACAATAGTATATAACAATGTAAATCTCTTTAGTAAAAGCAAAGATCGAGGATTGATTTTTCTTGCAATCTCAAGAAAAAATTTTAATATTCATCAAGTGCAGGCCAGCAGTTGCTTGCTGAATCATTTTCAGACAACTTTATGTATACTTTTTTTTTTTTTAGTTAGGATAGTAAAAGGTTCTGCAAAAAATGCAAGAATTGTTTAATTTCATACTTCTTTTTCCCCTTCACATCAATAAAAAACATGTGAAATGTTTTTTTTTTTTTTTTAATGTCATCCATATATTTAGAAATATCAGTCTAAAAGAAATGTGATGCTTTCATTTAGGCCCCAGTTTCAGCTGGCATTAATGGTGTCCTTCTACAACCATGACTCAGCTGCACTAAGATGCAACTGTTCTGCAAAAGTGTGAATTTGCTCTTTAAAAAAAAAGGTATTAATGTCCAACAAGAGAATTTTCTCCAGCCCCATAATAGCTTAGTTTCTTAATGAAAACCCCTATCCTCTGCTGAAGGAATCCAGCTGCAAAAGCAAACTGCATTCTTCATTTTGTTGAAAATGTACTGTATTCAAAATGCAGACTGTTCTTACCATGCTGAAGGTTACAGAAGGGACTATCTGAAAGCTGTGGGTTAACTGAAAAGAAATGTCTCAGAGGATTACTTTCACCTTAAGAACAAGTTAATTAAAAAGACACCCTGACTCAGAATGCAGGTTTCATTTACAAGCTTTGAAGAAAAAAAAAAAAAAAAGTTTTATCTTGAAGTAAGCACAGTTTTTGAATCTGCACCTTTTTAGATTTTCCTAATGCCATTTTCTGACAGTTGCCCACTGGAGAGAAACACACCATGAAACTAGTTGTGACTGACATGCTTCTCATAAGCACGGTTTGTTTTGCCATTTCCCAGCTGTACATCATCTTACTGAAAATCATTCTATTAGTTGTCACTTTTACAGAAAAAACTGTGCAGAGCTCTAATGCTCAAGAACATTTTGTAACATTCACATAAACCGTGCAATTTATTAGCCTTCACATATACAGAGAAGAGCATATATCCTGACATTTATTTAAGAAACAAAGAAAAGTAATCTGAAGAGAGAAAAGTTACTTGAGTTGCTTTGAAGGAAGTCTTTGCAAAGAAAAACTTTCATATTTTCCTTCTTCCGTATATAACTTCAGCATATGTATAGCAGGCATGGTACAGATCCCCAGCACTTAATTAACAGTGTTTTTTCTATTATTATTAAATAAAGATTAGTCCAGATTCATCTCTGGTGAAACTCTTACCACTCAGCTAAGTTATATCACCAATGAAATTTGTCTTCTGAGTCAATGGGGGACAAAAAATTAAAAAAAAAAATAATAATAATAATAACATTTTTAAAAACAGGTTGCAATACTTGCAAATTTTCTGAGAGATTGAGAATAAGTCCCCATGGATGGGTGATCTTAAAGCTCAAGGTAAATTTAATACTGGGTCTTCAGAAAAAGGGAAAAGAAAACCTACATAGAACCCCTTCTCCCCCCTGTCCAGAGCTGGTAGCTGTAGCTCCTTATGGCAATAATATTCAAGAAGAATTAATGTAGTATTTTCTCCCTCACATTATGTATACTAACAATGTCTTAAGTTTCTGAAATGGCGTTTTGTACACGTAATGAAGAATCTCAGTGAAAGAGACATTTGTCAAATCTGTCTCTTCTGATTTAGTATTTAGTGATGAGACAATGGAGTTGCCACTGACCTTCTATTCAGGATACCAAATGAACGATTCAAATGTAGTAGTTTAACTGGACAGATTTTAGGGAAATACAATCCTGAGCATTAACCGGGTCCATCGGTTTACAACTACATTCTTACTGACTTGATGAACAAATTGTGATGCTTCAATGACCCCCCCCAAATGTAGTAGTTTATTCTGTTTTTATGATGGAAGGGGTCTGGTTTTCTCTGAGCAGCTCTAATGCAAAATAGTGTCAGCCATCCCACAGCCAGACTGGCAGGCTCAAGTTTCATTTGGTATAAAGCACAGGTTGGTGTTTTAATAGCTGTTCGGAATGACAGCGGCTCCAAAGCAGCACAGAAGGCTTTGGTCTGTTACATTAGCCAAAAGACAAAGTGCATCCTTGGACTTCAGCAAGTAAGAAATTAAGGAGAAAACAAACAGACAAAAAAAAAAAAAAAAACCCACAAAAAAACATTATTTTTTTAAAGCTGTTGCAGCCAATTACTTGTTTCTGGCCAGCACTGTTCCTGCTTAACTAGATTTGCCACAGCAGCCTCAACTGTGGCTTCAGCTCTTTCTGCCAATGTAAATAATTCTTTAAAAAATCTATTTCACATTAAGTTACCAGAGATCTGTCTAGGCCAGTTACCTCTTGCTTCAGCTCTTCCGAATATCACCACTGCACAATGTCCAAACCTAACAGGAATTTCCATTCAGCAGTGTCTCACAGACCTCAGAGACATAATCCAAAAGATGCACTTTCTCTAATCCCCTTCTAGCTGGCATTGGTAACTCTGTCATATTACAAGCAATCTCCTAAACAGAACAGCTTTATTCTTAAAGAATACAGACTGTAATTGTTGTTTGCTGCATTGACTAGTGCCTTACTCATAGTTTTTTTAGTTTAACTGTTCTTCAAGCCAAGTCCTGCTAAGATCTTGTACTTGGTTCTGAGGCATACAGCAAGCCTCCTAGTAAGACAACTACACATTGTTATGTTTACAGGTTAGTACCTGACACTAAAGTCACAAAAAGACAGAAACTATAAATGTGATGTTGGTCCAAATGTCAAGCATGTAATTCCAAACACTTTTATCCCAGCCCAGTTTTAAAACTCCACAAACTCCTCCTGCATTTGTTATCAACTAACTCACAAAGCAATCAAAGCAGTCTGTGCTGCTGAAGTATAGAAACAAGTAAGTGAAATGGAAATGCTCCCAACGCATGGCTGACAGCAAAACTTCACCACAGGAATTCATGTAAGGCACAGGGTGAAGTCCTATACAGTGGTTATTTCACAAATCTCACATGTTACAGCTCAGGTAGTTTTGGGCAGGACACTGCTTTTTTTCTGCCTCTAGCATATCATCTTATTTATCAAGTTAAAACCAGGGAGGCGATAGTTACTGGGGGCTGATAGTTACTGTTGGGGGTCTGTTTGGGTATTTGGAAGGAGTCAAAAAAATGCAATAGAGTGGGCACTTAACTATTGCCCTGAAGAAATACCTACAGCTACTCTTTCTTTCTTTCTAGTCTTTCTTTCCAAAGACCAGTAAAGCAATGGCCACAGATGTACCCTGACTAAAAAAGATTTAAGTAAGTTTTTGTCTGATTTACTTTTTTTTGTAAGTAATGCATCTTTGAAGTGAATTGGCTGGCCTTGCTGTGCAATGTATTACACACAATTCAGGGCCCAGTATTCCTTCCAATAAATCCAGACTGTGAACACAGCTCAGGGGAAAGCCTGAGAAATGAGTAAAAATGCTCAGAATTCTACTCTTAAGAGCTACTCATCTTTGCATTCTACTATCTAAATTCTACTACTTCACTGAGCATTACATTCATAAAAACTGAACTAAGATCCACATTTAATGTTACCTACCATGTCATCCTAATCCAAAGAGAAACCCAGACAGAGAATTTCTATTTGCTTTTTTTTTTTTTTGTGACTTTACTGTGTACTTACTGAAAACAGCACAGACTTTTCCAATAAGATGGTAAGACATCAGCTGGCTATTCCAGATTTTCAAATTGAAGCCCTTTACAAATATCTTTCTCTTGAACATCATGTACTTGACTCCTGAGAATGGCCTTATAGGGAGTTGTAAGCTACCATTTTGGACTTCAAAATTAACCCTTTCTTTCAATACAAAAATATCAGCCACACACACCCACTGTATGTTTGCAGATGTTAACTTTTGGCATTGTTTTACTTCCAATCCTATCATTTCTACACATATGTACTCACATTTTTTCACTTGACCAATTTAATCTACAGTAAAAAAAAGAATGAATTCTTGGTGTATTTTAAGTTCCCAGTGATACCTCCTGAATTGAACACACAATTGAACATGTTCCACTTACAACACCACACTCTATAGTAGCTCAGCTGTTACTTTACACAGAATACCTTTTTCACCTGTAATTTTTCCACTCTAAATACTGCTGAATATTACTTAGAAATTTCTCAGTGTTGGATCAGGTAGCTTTTGCATCATTGCTTCACACAAATGCCTTAGAAGCTTGCCAAAGTAGCACGTAAAAGAAAGAGACCTCATGCAAAACAGTTTAGACAATGAAAGAAACTCACATGCTTTACAAAGTGTGGATGCTGAAGTCAGCAGATAGATTCTAGTCTTATAATAGTCAGGGAGCTGCATGTCTGAACATGTTAAGCTTCTCTTTAAGAAGGAAAATAAGGTTGATAGCTGACTGAAGTAACAAAATAAAAGAGAATATGGCAAAACAATTCACTATTGTACCATTCCAGGGGATTATTTAGTGTTCCTACTCAAAAGTTTTACGTTACATGGCCACAAATGTATATATCGTAGACTATCTGCATCATGAACACATACTGGGCTTTATATCTTACACAGTAATTCATAACAGTCCCATCCTCAACAGCTTTGCATGCTATTTGGGTAGAAAGAATCACAGAATTGTAGGGGTTGGAAGGGACCTCCGGAGATCATTGAGTCCAACCCCCTGCCAAAGCAGGTTCCCTACAGCAGGTCGCACAGGTCGGCATCCAGGCAGGTCTTGAACATCTCCAGAGAAGGAGACTCCACCACCTCCCTGGGCAGCCTGTTCCAGTGCTCCGTCACCTCACTGTAAAGAAGTTCTTGCACACATTTGTGCAGAACTTCCTATGCTGCAGTTTCCGGCCGTTTCCCCTTGTCCTGTCTCCACTCACCACTGAAAACAGTCTGGCCTCGCCATTCTGCCCCCCACACCTTAGATATTTATAGACCTGGATCAGGTCCCCTCTCAGTCTCCTTTTCTCAAGGCTGAACAGACCCAGTTCACTCAGCCTTTCCTCATAGCAGAGATGCTACAGGCCCTTCACCATCTTTGTGGCCCTCCTCTGGACTCTTTCCAAGAGATCCCTGTCTTTTTTGTACTGGGGCGCCCAGAACTGCACGCAGTACTCCAGATGAGGCCTTACCAGGGCAGAGTAGAGGGGGAGGATCACCTCCCCCAACCTGCTGGCCACACTCTTTTTCATGCACCCCAGGATACCACTGGCCCTCTTGGCCACAAGGGCACACTGCTGGCTCATGGCCAACACGTTGTCCACCAGGACACCCAGGTCCCTCTCCACAGAAAAGAAAGAAAGGAAGGAAAAATAGCCACAGAGTCAAAGCAACTTGAATCGGACTGGATTAACAGACTGGATGCTGTCCTAAAGGCTCTGGGCTAAGTTCTTGTTTTGTTTCTTTCCCTGCAAAATCCTGCATTTCTTAGGCACCGTGACGTTCTCTTCTCCAGAATTCCCATGATTATTTCCAGGACGAGGAGGAAAACTTCAACAATTACAAAATTTATTTGCATAATAGAAAGCAAAGAAATCAGCATGAATGACCACTGAATTCTATATAAGCAGGTACTGAGAAGTAAAGCAATATTAGAAATACAACTTTTTCTTGTACATCATACTTCTTTAGTGCTATACAAACAAAAGATTTCAACGCAGCCACACCTCCAGATAAAGTATCGTGTGTCATATTTTGGTATGTTCTCACTTTACAAGTACTGTCAAGTTGGGCAGATACCATTCTGAACTAATTGGCGCAAACAAAGCACAAGCATCAGGTCAAACATGACTTGCACTCAAGTATATATTTTTTAAACCAAAAACGCTACCTAGATAAAGTTTCCAATTCAGAAGCTGGAAATATGTTTTCAAATTGTAACCTTGAGGAGATTCCTGGGATCTTCATGGGAACAACTGTTTCTTTCTAAAGGTTGAGGAGCCAACATCACCTGCCCTCTCACTGTTTCCTTCTCCTTCAGCAGTACATTCCAGGTTTTCCACATGTGACTGCCCAAGGAGCAAAGAAAAAAAACACTTCTACTTACCTGCTCCATATGAAAACCATGGGCTGCTCAGCAAGCTTTTGCCCTTTCAGAGAGCCCTTACCTAATTAATAGTAGGGAAAGCATAATAAAGGAGCATAAAAACCACAAGGAAGGTGTGCTCACCTGGAGAAATACACATACAGATGGGTGGGAAAGGGAACAAAGAATGGGAGAAAAAAAAATCTGGCAAGTTTTAAGCGATGTTAAGTACAATAAGGAGAGAGGATACTTGTCTTTAGGAACTGAATTCATTTCTTCACTTTGAGAGATAGGT